AGGAGGAAGCACCTGGATCGGATTCTCCATCTTCTGACGAGTCCGAAGATACCCAGGATTGCATAGTTGTGGCTTGTGAATAGCTTCATTTTTCACCTGGAAGTAGATGCGTTGGTTCCACGGTGCTTGTTTTGGGGTGGCCCAAGACAGGGGGTGGCCCAACTCGGGGTGGGTCGACTTAGAAGGGCGCCTTCCCCTGCTGGCCGTACGGGCCGGGCCATCAGGGGCTAGCGACTCCCCCGGGTTTACCACGGCGGCGGCGGCGGTGGCCGCAGCGGTGGGAACAGTGGCAAACCAAGCCCATCAGCCGACCAGTGTCGGCATCATGCATCTGTTGACAGGCGGAGACAGGCAAATCTCGGAGCTGATGACGACTTAGGCAAGCGCGGCAAGCCTGCAGGCCCTGCTTACGAGACGGGCAAACCAGGGTCTTTCCCGCCTGCTCAAAGAAACGCACGCTTCGACAGTTTCTTCCTTGTTCTCAGATGTTGGGATTCGCTGCTCCAAGCTCCCAGCCTTTCTGCCCGCTGCCACCCGATCGCGACCGCATCAACGGGGAAATGGAGCCACCGTCTGTATGGCCGGGGGCAGCTCTACGGGCAAAGAATGAGGCACACTTATCCTATTTCAGCATAAATCCACTACATTTATACATTTTGTAGTTTTGTATTTCGTTTTTGGGAATCTTTCCGACGACAGCTAGGTCGTCGAATCTGGGTTTTATAGCAGCGGTGTAATAGCAATTACGGCACTACAAACACGACCTAAAAACAGGAGTCGTGCGTTTAAACAGTCCGTTTAGGCAGGTGCTGCCTGCAGGGGCTCCTTTACGTGTTTCCTGTGTCCAGCCAACTCGGACTTTGACGCGTCTTGGACGGTGGCTTACATTTATCCTATAAATAAAAGCCATCCCCCCAAAGTGCTCGTTAAGCTTACTTTCACCTTTATACATACTACGTATTTACGACCTTTGCCGCCAATACTTCTTGCCCTTGCCAAACATGGACCAAGCCTACGCTGATCTCAAGGGGAACTTTATCTTGGGGGAACCCGACGACGACACTTGATGAGTCGGCATGCAGCAGCTTTCGTAGCAATAAGTCAACTTCCGAATGGGGCGCCGTCTGCTCCTCCTCGTGCTTGCAGGTTACCACGGTCAACTTCTTGCCTGTGACGATGGCGATCTCGGCATTAGGAAACGGCAGTTTTCCCCAAAAGCCGGCGATATTCGGTGGCTCGCCCGTTGTTGGTTGTTAATGCCAGCCACCCAAAATGCAATTTTTTTATTAACACGCCCCTTAGGTGTCGGCAACACTGGCTTTATGCAAAACGCAGTGCCACGTATTACTCGTCCTAACCCTGCAAAGCCAAAAAAAAAAAGATAAGTGGCAGCCAAGTAAGGGGCGTAAAGCAGCACCACGAGCAAATACGCCACTGGGGCCGGGGTAAACAGGCGGTGGGTAGTCCGTAGCAGGTGCTGCGCGTAGGGGTTTTATCTTCGCTTACACACCGTCCACCCTCCCGTTGGAAAGTGTCCAGCCATTTCGCGGTAGCTTGCTGCCCCCGGCATAAACACACCTTTGATAAGCAGGCTGCATATGCAAGCCAGCAAATATTACATCCTATCGCCACCCATTCGGGCACCAGTTAACTGTACAACCAGCAGGCTGCGAAAACCCTTAAAGCCGTTCCTCTTAACGAGGCAACTGCGCTAGCCAAATCGGCAAATCCACATAAACATGATTGGGTAGGGAGCGTCGCTGCCATCTCCTGCTGGTGGCTGGCGCCTGCATACCGGTTTCCTAACTTGGATGGCTGGGCCGAATTGCCTTTTTTCCGTTGGTCCATCCGGCCGTAAACACCTGGGCGTAAGCAATGCAAGGGTTCACAGCACAGTTGGCTGTCACATTCGTACCAACAAGCTGCACTGCAACCTGACGCATACCTTATCCCTTGTCAGCCTTTCGGAAAGTGTAGCTATCCCCCGCTCAGATTTTATGGAGTACCGGAACTGCGTCCTAAGGCTTTGCCGGAAGTGCCGCCGCACTGCTTTCGACCCGAGGGCGGGTTACCGTGTATACACCGCGTAGTTTATGCCCGACTGATTCGACCTGTATTATCGACCGTGTGCTTGTGGGCCTTTTATGCACGCCAACTTAGGGCGATATGTATACTGGCTTGCACATCGGACATTAATTTGCTGTTGCCGCTGTGTGATTTGGGCTCGGGGCTACCGCAGGTAAGCCAGCTAGGTTTCCCAGAATCCATTCCACCGTGTTTACATGCATCCTCCTATGGGGCTTCGGTTTGTAAAGGTGAACTGCCAACAGGGAAGGTAGCCACAGCCCCCTGGTGTTTCGCCCCAAACAGCTACCAGGTGGCTGGGCAACACCACTTCCCCGGTGGGCATCCCCCTGGGTGAATACGCCGGCATAAAGAAGGCATTTGAAAACAATTCGGTCGGGGTAGGTGCCTGATCACCGACAAAGTATTGGGCGGGGAAGTGACAAAATGGATATTGGAGGGCTAGCTTCGGTCGCCTTGCGGCAGAGGCGCAACATGATGGTGTGGCGAGTAGGGCGACGGCAACTGGGCCGAGCAGCACGCACCCCTTCCCACCCCTCCGCTGGAAGTTCACCAAACACGTTGCGTGGTTGGGTGGCAGCATGTGAAGACTTCCGTTAACGGGCGGTGCAGTTTCCACGCGCCCACCGCACTTTTTATTGTGCAACCACCAAGGCCTGCCGTCTGGCCGCTCACCGTACCGCTCGCGAAGACGGCATGTTTCCAGCCAAAACATGGCGTCCAATTACTTACGCATTACCCTCCCCACATGCCGCAGAGCCTTATGGAGGGGTGTAAGCCAGCCCTGGAAGCGAATGTTTGCTTGCCACTACTAACAGATCATGCACCTTTACACCTTGCATCCCACTGGAGAGCTGTATCAACCGGCAGGTCACTCCAAGCGCTGTCCTTCGCCCTGTTCTCGCCACCTCGATTACATGAAATGGAACCCCTTCTGAATCACGCTGTACCTTGGATGTTCGCGCCGGATCCACTCGGATTCGGTTCCCGCAACAGGCGCGGCGGGTTTTACAGTTGCCTCGTGGTTAGAACTTTCCCTGTACCTAGACACCTTCGAGCCGGCGCAATGCGGCCGTAAAACTCGCCCTGCCGCCGTCGCGGGCGCGTCAGAGAGTCTCCATCGAGGCAGCTCGAGGGGACGGCACGTGCGCGAACACGTGACCGTGCCAGACGGCACTGACGTTAATACATATTTATTTACTTGTAGCGCTAGTCAATCGTATCATAAAGATGGGCTTAAGTCATCCCATCATTTGCAGTATTTTCTCTCCCTAAATAAACGTTAATTAATTTACACGCGTTGTTCAAATGTTCCTCTGAGTCCTACCAGGAAAATAAACGCTGGCGTCGTAGGTGGGATTTACTAGGTCGAAGTTGGGGGTTTATGGCCCAAGGGGATATAGCGTAAGGAGACTCAGGAACCGGCCCGCAGTGTGCCAAAGCTTCTCCTCTTCTAGGAGAGATCCCGGGTTCGAATCCTGTCGGGGTTTGGTCCCTGATTTTATGCCGGCCTCGACTCGGCACTCGGATATGCCTTCACACCCGCTTGCCGTAAAGTTAACCAAAGTCGTGGAAAACGAGGCGATGTTGGTTGCGAAAGTGTGGGGTGGTTAGATCCCTAAGCACTACCTGAGCACTTATTAGGGTGGAAAACAGAACGGTGATTTCGCCACGACGCCGCATCAAGCAATAAAGCCTGCATCAACACACCATTAGCCCCTTCACTGGACTTCCAACCTTTTATAAATGGAACCCGGGCGGGTATTAACGTGCGCGCATTTTGGATTGAGGGGCGCCTCGGTTGCGCACGTTTATTTGGGCCCAAAGGATGCCTTTTAATCCGGTTTATATTGTCCTATACTGTAGCAATGGCTGGTTAACAACCCTTCCCCCTCCATCGTATTTGCGTAATCCGCTTTGCAAGCGTTTAAATTATGCATATGTTTAATTGTTTGCACCCAGGTACCGGATAGTTCCCGCCAAACTGGACGTGCGAATTTGCGCAACGATTCGCGTTGGGATTAATGTTTAGCGCGACAAATACAGTGTGATAAATTTCATCATTAGGTTTTTCGCGACAAAACGCGTTTTGCTAAGCCACGTTAGCCACAAATTATGCATAACCGCTGCCCGGCGCTGCCCGGCGCTGCTAAAGCCTTACCAATCACCAAGCGCGTTAGTTACAAATTCGCACGTAATCCGCATTAATGTGGCAACTGCCCCACGTCACGCAAATCCTTCTTCCACTCAAGCATCGCTCGCTCGATTGAACCGGCCTGCGAAATACCGAACGCTTCAACCGCCGACTGATTGTCGACGCTGCCCCGCACGCAAAGGCCAGGACATTTGGGGCAATCCCCTTCGAGCACCCTCCTGGCTGTCGGCCTATTTGCCTCGGTCGCTGCCGCCGCTACCTGTTCGTTTTTAAAAGCGCCCGTTTGTTGCGCTTTTAGAACGCCTCGCTGAGCAAACAAAACGATTCCCCAACCCGGCAAGCGAGGCCAGGGCTGCATTTACGCATATACGCACGCACGCACTCACCCAGCCCAGCCCTGCCCGGCACTTGCCTCGTTCCTTTTTAACCACGAGCCACCCCAATTGCGCTTCGACCCCACAACATACAACGAAGTCGCTCAGGCCGACCAGCAGCAAGCAGGCCGGAGCATTATCGGCTTCCCGAGCGAAATTGCCAGTTACAAGCTCGCTTTTTATCGTGCGCGGCCTCCGCCTTCTTTATATCCCTTAATGGTGAGCAAGCTTCATGCTTCTTTCTGCTTGTTAAACGCAAACCTGATGTTCCTCGTGCCCGTATTCGCACCTCCACCCCGGGCCTCCATTTTACATCCAGTTATACTCCCCTCGTGTCCTCCCAATGCCAGACCTTCCATTTAACCGTTACGATCAGTCTGGGAACCACTTTTAACGACCGAAGCAATTCGCCGACGACTTTGTCCGTTCGATCGTCGATAACCGCCCGGCTTAACGCGATGTCAGCCTTAGCCAGCGATCCCTTCCATAACGCGCCTCCCGAAATCAAATTATTCCTCCTTTCCGAAAAGGTACCCACCACGGTTAAGGAATGGTTTAAAGGCAAAGTAGCAAGTCGCGCCCGCGTCCGCGACCGCAACACAAGGATCCGGGCACTGGAGGAGGAAAACGCAAGGCTTAAAAAGGAGGCTAAGGAAAAGGCCCAGCAGCAGGCTGAAAAGCAGGCTGAAAAGATCAAACAGCAGGCTGAAAAGAACGAAAACTTGCGGGCCGAGCTTGAAAAACTGCGCCAAAGCAAGCAAAAAAGTACAGCCGGAACCAGTAAGCAGGCTAAGCAGCGTGCCGAAAACATCGAAAGACAGCTGGCCGAACAGCACGCCAAAAAGATCGAGAATTTCCGGGCCGAGCTAGCCAAAAAGATAAAGGAATTAAAGGCCGACAAGGAGCGGCTCAAACAGGGGGCTAAAAAGGTTAAAAAACAGGCCGAACTTAAGCTTCGTCGACAAAATACGGCCGGGACTGGTAAGTAGCACATTAAGCAAGCAACCTCCGAACAAAAATTAACTATCGAATTAGATGCAGTTTTTGGGGCACTTGCATCGGGCCTTTTGTTATTTTCGGCTGCGTCATCGACGGCGAGCAACGAGCAAAAAAGTAGCGCCGGCTTTACCGATTCCGCAAGCACTTCCAGCACTTCCAGCAGCACCCCCCGCGAAAGCCAGTCGGATGCACCTCCAACGAAACCCGCACCATTTAAGGTCGACCCCGGCTCTAAACGAAAAATCCTTCGAGGTTTCCTCCCGATCAATTTACCGCTGGGCGATGCTTACGCCGCATCAAGCAGCGATCCCGAACCGCAATCGTCCAGCAATCCCGCCCAAAATGCAGCCGATATCGATATGCCCGACGCCGCCGACGCCGCACCCCTAGGCAGCAATCCCGGAGCACAGTCACCGTTTAGCAATTCCTTTAACAGCCCCCCGATAGTCCCCCTCGGGATACAGCCGACCCTCCCCTAAACGCTAATACGAACTCTGTGGTCGACCTCGAAACCTCGGAACCGCAAAGGCCGCGTCCAGTTCTCAAAAAGCCCCAGTTCAATGGGCCCTACGAAATCAGGCTTAATGCCGCGGTTAAGTGGGGGAAAAAGCATTTCCCAAAAAAAGGGGTCGACCAATTCGAATTTGGGAAGCTTATGGCGGCCGCTGTGTTGTATGATGTTTGCACCATAAACTCCTGGCCGGTAATTAATTACCAAAATGTTCGTGCGCTTAAAAAAAAGATGGAGAATAAACTTTTTGCCGTTATCCTCTGCCATGTTCAAGATGGGCTCCAACTTTCGGGGCGCAAACTTAATCATTTCGTTGTGGCCATTGTCGATTGGAAGGAGGAAACGGTGGAAAACTTGCAGGGAAAAAGCAATGGACGAAGTGGAAGATCGGGGAAGTTTACACACTGGGGAATGCAACGAGACATGGCAGGCAGGCTGCGGGAGGATTGTGAAAAAAAATTGGAGTGTAAACTGGAAAACTTTCCCAAAAAGGTAAGGAGAGCCCTTCGAAATTTGGTCGATATTTTCTAACCTTTTTTGTTTTTTCAGCTTGGCGACTATACCGGCAACACCTATTTGCTTCAATGTTTAACGGCCGTTCGATCCTATTTCGGGGAAATAACCCCCCAAAGCAACCAGCACTTAAAGCGATGGTTTTATCTCGAAATTCTATTGCAACACTGGGTCGACTGCCACAACGAGGAGGTTACATCTACCGACACGCAAATAGCTATAGCCGAGGGCCCTTTTGCCGCGGGTCCCCCGCTGGGATCTGCCGGCCAGCACGGAAACAAAGCCATGGTCGAAGGTGTTCCAAACGACGGCTCTATTCCCCAATCTCCCCAGTCGGCCGCCCATTTCACCTCGGCTCAATTCGCCCCACCTGCCGGGCCATCCCGAAAACCGCTCCCTAACGGACCAGTGCCAGCAACGAATGCACCAGCTGCTTCACCATCGCCTTCCAATCCCGACGAGGTTCCCCAAGTTCAACCCACATCAGTACCCCCGCCCCTGTCTGGCCAAGGCAACGACAACGACCCAGCCGCTTCCCATGGGGTTCACAACGGCGTGAAATACCAATGGATGCCTTGCTACGGCGGCAAGGTCTTGGTGCTCGAGCCAACACCGGACCAATATTCGGACCTTAAAGAAGGTCCAAAAGATGGCAGCCCTATGCTTTTTACTGTCGCTGAGGAGCTTGGAGCACGAAAGCAAGGTGCATTCATTATCAACACCCCGGAGGAGTCTCGACCAGTGCTTCCTGCACAGCCGACTCAAACAAAAACATGTACAACCTACAAGCCGGAGTTGGTGGGAGACGACTTTTGGCGGCTCTACACTTTGACCGCAACACAATCCCTTCCTTCTTTGGATAATAATCCAAGCAATGCCGGTTCCGACATTCATGCCCTCATTAAGGAGTATAAGGAGTATATCTCAGCAGCTTTCCAAAAGCGTTCGGAAAGCATCCCGGGTGTTGCTTACCAGACGGACATCCCAGCACACTCTACCAAAGAGCGTGAAAATGCTTTCCTACCTTTGCAAAGCCCAATCTGGCACATTCGAGGTAACCAACTGCCTCGGGAAGGTATACCTGGGCTCCACACTCCAACCGCTTACCGAGGGACGAAGGGCGCACCATTTGCGTGGCATTTCGAAGACTTGAAGCTGGGCGCCATCAATTATCTCTACCGCGGGCGGAAAGTGTGGTTTGTTACCGAGCCAGGATCATTCGACAATGCGACTGAGGCGTTCAGCAACGTACTGGGGCTCGAGGCGGACCATGACCAATTCCTGCGGCACCAAGCGTTGCACTACGGCATCAAGCGCCTGCAAAGCGAAGGCGCCCCGACGATAGGTTTTATGCAGGAGGCTTGGCAGATGGTTGTCGTCTACCCGGGTGCCTACCACTCTGGGTTCAGTGCGGCGG